GTACTGGAGTTATACAAGGCTATATATTATCACAAGTACTTTTTGGCATTCTGACTGATGCTGTAACGAGACAGGACAAAAACATTGAAACAGGCATTACATTGACCAATGGCACACATTTGGGAGATTTAGATCATGTGGATGACATTTACATACTAAGCATCTTAGTGCACGAAATGCAATTAATATCCAATGAATTAGCAAGCTCTGGAAAAAAAGTTGGCCTTGTAATAATTTTTTTTCAAAAACACAAGTACTGCGACTATCACCACAAATTACTCCCATCACTATTTATGGAAAACCTCTAGCAGAAACTAATAAATTCAAGTATCTTGGCAGCATTATCTCTAACCCTACAGACTGCATTGACGTATTTTGTCAATGAAAAGCCATTTGGGTTCAAAATTAACTCATTGAAATTTTAATAAAAAATATGTCTATAATAGCAATGTTTTTGGCCGTACACGGACGTACGGTTCAGGGATATGGAAAGCAAAAAAAGTACACCTCAATTCAACGAAAATTAAAAAGCTTTCGTTAAAAAAAATGTTTTAAAAGAGTTTTATTAGTAACATAGAATGAATTTACCAAAAATAATTAAGTGTTGGAAAGAACTGAAGATATTAACATGACCAAGAAAAGGAAAACAATGAGATATTTTGGACACGTTTTGAGAATGCCAGAGACAAGATTGTCCTATCAGGCTTGATATTGGAGAAAAGGTAGACCAACTGGGACTTACAGACGTACAACCAGGGATGAAGCAATCATCCAGGGCCTTTGGTAAGTGTTTTACGGCGCTCGCAACTGCATAATAAGGTAATAGGAGCGCTCCCGGGGCCTAGGTGTATCAATATAGAGAGAGGAAAAAATTGTGAAATGGTATGGATTTAACGCCCCTATCAACACTGTCAGGTTATTTAAGAGGCGGGACCTTCGAGTTTAACGTCCATCTCCATAAGGACGAGCCAAGTAGGAAATTCGTGTAAAGTGCCTTTTCCAAGAACACAACGTCGGGCCGAGCTGAGGCTCGAACCCTTGAACCCGCAATCTCACGATTACAAGTCCGGTAACCTAACCACTACGCTACTGACGCCACTTTAGAGAGGGTAGGTGAGCATGTTTAAAATCATTGGGGTAAATACAAAAGTACGTTTTACTTCATAATTTCGAGATAGAGTGAAGATAAGGGGAACCAACAGGCTTTATAAAAACACTAGCAGGGCCCCCTTTCGATGAAAGAAATGATCGGTGCATTAACATCAACTGAAAGTCATTGGTAAAAAAAGAAAACATGAGGCTAGTTTAGATCTATACGGGTCGTACACTTAAGATAGTGCTCAGTATTGCGCTACAATGCGCGATAGTATTGAACGGAAGTACGACTTGAAATAAACAAACCTGGCGGATTTTCTAAAATTACAGAGACAGAAGCGTCGGCCTGCAAAAGCGATCGGCGAAATAAAGAAATTTTAGCTTTTTGCAGCAAAATTGTCCCAAAACTGAAAAAAAACGAAGGGCGTCATGATCTGGAGAATATTTTAGAGAATCTTTTGGCGAAAACTGCATGTCGATCGATAAAGCATTAAAGAGCCTTTAGAATAGCAAAATTCGGCCACCACAAATAGATAACAGATGTCCCTTAGCAGTATTACCCAGTCACACAACGAATAGCTCAAATGCACATGACGCTGGA